TACCACCATGCCCAGCAAATTTTTTCTATGTTTACTGGTCAACAGGGTGGGCAGTTTTCCAGATTGATGGACACTGGGTCAAGAAAACAGGATCCAGTGGAACTTGAGGAGCTGAATTTGGTGCTAGGCACCAGGGGAGGGGTGGCCTGGAGACGAAAAGAAGGTGCTAGCAGCAAGCTAACCCACTTTATCAATTCACCCCTAGTCAGCACTACAGAGAGTTTGTGATTAACTTTGTGACCATAGAACTGTGAAGTAATGAAAGACAGACACAGGCTAGTCTGAATGTTAAAAAGGTATCAAATCAGCAAAACCCATACAATATGAAGAAGAAAATAGCAATCATACATGTTAACGGTACTGAGAATTCACCGTTTGCTTCCATACAGGAATATCAGGATGTTTTCTAGTGGGATTTGAATTAAAACAGCAGCAACAAAACAAACCTCAAACTTCCTACCTTTGATAGATAAAATTTTATCCATTTGTGCTATTTTAAAATCCCAAGCTATAGATATAAATATGTAAAATGTGTATTTTGAAGAATGACGCCTGTTGGGGAAAGAGGGTTAAAAAGTCTTTTACTTTTTATTTTGTAATGATGGAAAAATTTTCAGAGAGGTAGTATTAATAAATGACTTGTTAATTGAAAGCTCTTTACTGTACTACATTCTTTATAATTTTCTTCTATTTTGTTTTTTTTTTGAGATAGGGTCTTGCTATGTAGCCCAGGCTGACCTTGAACTCACTGTGATCCTCCTTCCTCAGCCTCCCCACGTCTGGGATGACAAGCATGAGCCACCACGTCTGGCCTTTCTCTTTCTTTTTCTTTCCTTTTCTGTTCTTGGGATCATGTCAGAGCCTTGTTCATCCTGAGCATGTACTCTACCACTGAGTTACATCCTAGCCCCAGAATATTCAGCCTAATTCTCTGAAGTCAGCATACCGTATGGTACCTGCATAGCCATGTTCATTGTGGCGTAATTCACAATAGGCAAGATACGGAACCAGCCTGGAAGCCCATCCACAGATGAGTGGATGAAGGAACTGCGGTGTGCACATTGTGTCACTGAAAGGAATGTGGGTGAAGTAGAGGTCGTCATGCTGAGTGAAGTCAGCCAGGCTTGGAAAGACAGGTGTCGCCCGGTGCCCCCCGTGTGCAGAACCTAAAGAGGACGTGAAGATGGAAGGGAGACCGCTACCAGATGAGAGGAAGGGATAAGCGGGGAGAGTGAGAGATGCTTGCAGGGAGATGATCAGAATGTATGCATTGAGGGGTCAGGGATGTAGTTCAGTGGCACAGTGCCTGCCCGGCAAGCACAAGGTCCTGAGTTTGATTCCTGGTACAAAAAAAAAAAAGTGTGTGTGTGTGTATATATATATATATATATATATATATATATATATACACACACACACATATATATACACATATATATATACATTAAAATCCAATGTTTTGTAAAACTCAGGCACTAAAAGAAAAAATAAAAACAAATCTAATTCTCTATTTTCTTTGTTATATAATCAGGTTATGGTGCCTGATGGTTAAAGGTAGCACCCAGGAAAAGGAAATGCAGTTAATTACATTTATTATCAAGGAGTCTAACCTCTTTCTCTTACTCAAGGGGTTTCAGAGCCTCATGCATGCTAGGCAAGCACTGTACCACTGAGCTATACCCCTGGCCCTCCACGGTGACCTCAAGCTTAAAAAGGAAAAGCATAGAATTAGGAATTTTACTAATGCTTATCTAATATGTTGTTGATTATAAAAGTAAAGACTTTTTTAAAAAAATGATGCCAGATGTGGTGATGCAGGCCTGTGAGCCCAGCACTTGGTAAGCTGAGGCAGGAGGATTGCCTTGAGTTCAAGGCCAGCCTATTCTGCGTAGTGAGTTCTAGGCCAGCCTGCATCACAAGGGGAGACCCTGTCTCAAAAAGCAACAACAAAAAAAGAGAACTGATGAAGAGTGACACGGAGCTGATAAGAATATGTTTCTCTCATGAATCTTGTGCCAGTTGTGACCTGAGCTGCTTGAGAATTCATTTCTTACATAAGAGGTGATTTGCTTTAGTTCACTGGTGGCTAGTAGATACGGAACCTGATCATAGTTCCCTAAGCCAGAAGGATTCGGTCATATAAAGTAATGGTTATGGTGATAGGAATTAAAGCCTTACGGGTTAATTAACAGGAAAGCTTTTCTTAGCACCAGCTGAATGACTCTTGACAAGTTCCTCAGCCACTGATATTTAACCATAGCTACTGTTTTGTGTTCTTGTGGTCAGGTTTTGTTTTTTTTTTTTTTAGGTTTTGTGTTAGGTGCTCTCCTTAAAGAAATGTTGACCTGCTGCAAAGAGAAGGAGCCCTGTATGCATAGAAGTTACATAACTTGCCTAAGGTTTCTTGGCAGGACTGGGATCTAAAACCAAGTGATTAGATTCCAGAGCCACAGCCACTGGTGTCTCTTGCTGCTGTTATTGCCAGCGTGATCCATACAGCCATGGTGCAGTGACACTAGGGGTTATGCAGGTAGTAAAATCAAATTAAATCACAGACGGCCCTCAGATGGCATTTCAGTTTGGGCTGGAATTTTTACCCAATCTGTAACCAAGCTGGTAATTGGAAACAAAATTTACCTGTTTTGAATTATGGCCTTTCTTTTTTTTTTTTTTTTTTTTTTTGGTCCTTTTGAGACAGTCTCATGCAGTTCAGGCTGGCCTTGAGCTCACTTTGGAGCACAGGCTGGTCTCGAATTCACAACAATCCTCCTGCCTCAGCCTCCTGAGTGCTGGGATTACAGGTGTGCACCACCACGCCCAGCTTGAATTATGTCTTTCAATCATAATTGTGAAATTATTTTTTAGGGGAGGTTGTTGGGGATTGAACCCAGGGCCTTGCAAAAATGGGGAAATTTCTTTTTGTTTTTGTTTTGATCCAAGGTCTCACTATATAGTTCAGGGTGGTCTTGAACTCACTTTGTAGCCTACACTGGCCTCGAACTTGTAGTGATCCTCCTGCCTCAGCCTCCCAAGTGCTGAGATTACAAATGTGCGCCACCACAGCTGGCTGCAAATTGTGGAAGTTTTTAATAAAAAAATAGTCTGGGCTGAGGCAGTAGCTCAGTGACACAGCCCTTGCCTAGTATTGCAAGACCTTGGGTTCCAGCCCATGGCAAAAAGCCAAACAGTAACAAGAAGGAGCTTTGTAATAAATAATTTGTAAATTATTATAAATAATTTGTAAATTATAATTCGGGGGCTCTCAGTCCCGAATGACGCGTGATGGCGAAGCATCACTGGAGAATCCGGAAATGTGAGCGCGCATTTCATACACCTGAAGCATCGGGCCATTCTGATGATTAAGCGCTGTCGGCGCCACTTTCCCATCGTGGGATAAAGCCCCGGATGCCGGTTTCCAGGGGGACTTGTCGGGGCCGCAGTCTCAGCTCATGGAGGCTGGTGCAGGAGGAGCTGCGGGCCCGGGAGAGTTCGGCAGGAGCAGCCCTCCAAGCCCGGGCTCGGGAGCCGGCGCGGACCGGGCCCCGGTTCCCACCCGGAGACCCTGTGAGCCCCTCGGGACCCCGGTATGGGAACGCCGGGGTGTTTCGGGCCAGCGGGTACAAGCAGCAGCAAGGCGAAGGCCTACGACAGCATTGTGTAATGACACACACAGTGACTGGAGCAGGAGCCGTTGTCGATTCTGTCGGAATTTTGTTATGAATGGATCATTTCAGATAGTGAAGAAGTCAAAGGAGAAATATCAGGATCAAAGTATAAACGGGTTCCTGGGGGCTGCTTTGCGGGAGACCAGGGTCCAGTTTCTGTCTTTGTGCCATTGGAGCTCGCCACGTCTTAAGCACTGATCTTTTGTTTTAGGTTGAACAAATCCTGGCAGAATTTAGGATCAGAGCTCTGGAATGTCACCCTGACAAGCATCCTGAAGACCCCAACGCTGGTAAGAATTTAATAATGGCTACTTCCCAAGAAAGTGAATAACATGGAATCAGGAGACTTTTTGGACAGTAACTTAGTTTTCTTTTGTCTGTTAGGCTCAGAGCTGTTCTTTCATTCAATGCCAAACGTTGTTTGATGTTGGGTGGTAGGAGAGAAGACTGTGAAAGACCATTTTTTAAAAACAAAAACAAAACCAACTCATTTATTTATTTATTCTGAGGCGGGGTCTCGCAATGTATTTCAGGCTGGTATCAAATTCCCTGCGATCCTCCTGTCTCAGCCTCCTGAGTGCTGGGATTACAGGCATGCTCCATCATGCCCAATGAAACACCTTTTTTTTTGTCTTTTTTGAGACGGGGTTTCATTATACAGTTCAAGCTGGCCTTCAACTTACTTTGTAGCCCAGGCTGCCCTCGAACTCACAGCGATCCTCTTGCCTCAGGCTCCTGAGTGCTGGGATTACAGGCGTGTACCACCATATCCTGAAGACCTTTTTAAAATAGTGCATTTTTAATGGGCATTTCTTTTATTTCTTTTAATATGCACTTTTTTTTTCTGCAGTGTGCTGCTTCATGGTTTATTTATTTTTTGTATTTTTATTTGTATTTTAAAGAGAATAAAACATTTAAAAAAAACTATAGAATTTCAAAACAAAATGATAGGAAATCAACAGTGGTTGTTATATTGCATATTGTTATCTTCAAAGTAGGTGTTCAGATTACCAGATACAGGCGTGCAAAACTGATTAAAAAATTAAGCATTAACTGTTCCTTTCAATAAACCAATAGAAATCAGTGGTGCAATTATCTTAGCTAGCTTGTGTATATATGTATATATATATATATTTTTTTTCCTTCCTTCCTTTCTTTCCTCCTTTCCCTCACCCCAGTTGTTCTTTCCTGCTCCCTGGCTTAAAATGTGTCCTGTTGTGCTTTATTGCACTAGCTGGTGAGCGTTCCCCTGACTCGAGGGTGTTTGTCACCAGTGGTTGTCTTGGTGAGAACGGGGCTGAGTTTTCTTCACTGCACAGGACCTGGTTGTGTTCCTCTATTTGCACTTGTGTTTCTTCTTTTATTACCGACCTGGTTGTGTTCCTCTATTTGCACTTGTGTTTCTTCTTTTATTACCGTCGCATTAACATAACTGAAGGATGCTCACCTCTACAGCTTGAAACAGAAACAAACCAGTGGTCCCTCCTCAGCCCGGCCTCCCTCTTCTGTCTTCCCTCTGTCCTTCCCCCGGAGTGACACTTCCTGAAAGGAAGCCCACAGCCGGTGTCTACTTCCTTTCTCCCTAGTTTTCCATTTATCCCATGATGTCTTCCTTTCCACCTTTCTCAGAAGTGGACAGAGACTTCCTGGTTGACAAATTCAACTTATTTTTCAGTCCTTACCTTTGCTGAGTGTGCACTGGAATTTGGCGTTGTTGATCGATCTTTTTTTCTGGAAAGGCTGGTCTCTCTAAACTACCAGGACACCGTGGCATACACATATCTTTCCCCAGCCTCTGGGGCTGCTCCTTCTGTCTGTTTTGTGATTCCGCCTCTGCGGGCCCCAGTTCTCTCCCGTGCTCTCTTCTCAGCTCGTTCCACTTTGGCTCGGAGCCTTGTCCAGGTCTGTGACTTCCATCACCAGCTCTCCCTCGATGGCTCCCAAGTCTGTCCTTAACCCAGCGCTCACTCCTGTCTTCACACTGTAGTTTTTACTGCATCTTAGTTATCTCCGTTTGGAAACATTTGTAGTTTTCCTCCTCAGAAATTGAACGCAACTGGGTGTGGTGGCACACACCTGTAATTCTAGTACTTTGGGAGGCTGAGGCAGGAGGATCAAAATTTCAAGTACAGCCTAGGCAGTTTAGCAACTCAGCTGCTGAAGAGACCTTGCTTTAAAATGAAAAATAAAGAATAAAAAGGGAGGGGCCTCTGGGAATGTAGCTCAGTGTGAAGGCCTTGAGTTCAGCCCCTAGTAAAACAAAACAAAACAACAAAACAAAACAAACAATACTTATTGAATACTTTTTCTCATTTCAATAAATGACACTAGCATCTGTTCAGCTGGTCAAACAGAAACCTCAAACCTTTTTTACTTATTTTTTTTGGTACTGGGAATTGGGTGAAGGACCACTGCACCGAGGTGCGTCCTCAGCCCTTTTTGTTTTTTATTTTGAGACAGAGTCTTGCTAACTCAGTAAGTTGCCAGACTGGGCTTAAATTTGAGATCCTCCTGTCTCATCCTTCTAGTGTTGGGATTTCAGGCCTGCACCACTGTGCACACCTCAGAAACCTCTTTTGGACTTTTCTCTATTGCTGGGGATCAAGCTCATGCTCTGATTTTTATATTTTAAATTTGATGGTTATGTTTATTACATGTTTATAGTATATGCATATGTGTGATTTTTCTATAATGAAAATATTATACAAAGATATGTCTATAATGTCACATTGCATATTCCCAAATTCCTATTTGTTGAGCAAATTTTTCTTTGTCTTAAAGTTTTTATTAATTTTCTCTAGAAATCATTGATCTCTATGACAAGCATGTGAGAACCACCGCTGCTCCAGCCCATCTCTGCCTGGGCTCCGCAGGGAAGTGTGGCTCTGACAGGGTTTGGGTTGGGCACCTGAGGCTCCGTCCAGGGAACCCCGGGGCCGCGTGAGGGAGTGCTGTGTACAGAGAAGGCATACAGACATCTGTGGGTTCCTGCTGACAGGAGTCACCCTGTGGGTACAGCTTGCTTTTTAGTCTGCTTAAGCCTCCATTTATTCAACTTGGACTAATCTAATTTCTAAAAAGTTAGGTAGTTCTTTGCTCACTTGGGGAAGGAATAAATTTACTTAAAGTACCGCTGGACCTGGTGATGCACACCTAAATCCCAGTGCTTGGGAGGCTGAGGCAGGAGGATCACTGTGAGTTCGAGGCCAGCCTGAGCTACATAGTGAGCTCAAGGCCAGCCTGAACTGCAGAGCAAGGCCCTTTCTCAAAAAATAAAAACAAAATATTAAAGTGTAAAACACAAAAGATGCTCATCCAGAGAATGAATTTTGATTTGACAGAAATTCACAATATACTGGACAGATTTCAAAATGTATCTCACTTAGGCCAAGAGTGAGCCTCTATAGGTAGGAGAATTTTTTTTTTTTTTAGGTAGGAGAAATTAAACTCTAATGTATACCTTTTCGGTCCCCTGCAGGTAGCCTGACTTGTCTGATGTGAACATAGGCTTGTCTTGGCAAGCTCTCTGAGCCTCAGTGCCCTTGTGGGTGAATGGGTTGATGAGCACTACTGCACGTTGCTTCCTGCATGTGCAGGTGAAGATTGAGTGAGGTGGGACAGCACGGGGAGGCGCTCTGTGGATGTGGACAGTTACGATTCAGGGAACTTCCCTTGTTCTTATTTTGCAGCCTAAGATTAAAAAGAAGGGGGTAGTTTTCTTTTTTATTAGTGATCATTAGATCCCCCCTCCCTTTCTTGCTCTTTTTCTCCTCCTCCTTCCTTCCCTTCCTTTTCTCCTCTCTTCCTCTTCCTCCTCTTCCTCCTTCTTGTGTTGGGAATTGAACCCAGGGACATGCAGCCAATGACCTAAAGATTTAAAGTGCTAGGCCAGTGCTCTGCACTGAACTCCATCACCAGTCTTCTTGTTCGTTCTTTCTTTCTTTCTTTTCTTTCTTTTTTGAGACAGGGTCTCACTGTGTAGTTCAGGCTGGCCTTGAATCCACTATGTAGCCCAGGCTGGTTTCAAACTCATGGCAATTATCTTACAATATAAGCACTAACTGTTCCTTTCAGTGAACTAATAGAAATTAGTAGTACAATTATCTTAGCTATCTTATGTCTTTTTTCCCTTTTTTGTTCTCTTTTCCCCCATCCCAATTGTTCTCTCCCTTTGAGCAGTTTCTTTCCCTTTCACAATGTCTATTGCACACTTTGGGTCTTATTTACTCTTTCGGTTTCTTATACTAGGGAGACTTACGCTGCTATGAACATGGAAGCACACATACCATTGTGGTGTGATGTTTTCGTGTGACATTTTCAGTTCTTCTGGGAAAATTCCCAGGAGGGGAAGCGCTGGGTCCAGTTGGACCTCTGATCCTAGTTTTCTGTGGAATCTCCACACTGATTTCCACATTGGTTTCACCAGTCTGCAATCCCATCAGCAGTAGAGAAAGGTTCCTTTCTCCTACAGCCTCTCCAGCATTTGTTATGGGTTTTCTTGAGGATAGCTCTTCTTTCTGGGGTGAGAAAGAATCTCAGTGTTGTATTAATTTGCATTTCTCGAATGACCAGTGACGTTGGTCATTTTTCTTATATATTTATTTGCCATTTGAATTTCTTCCTCTGAGAAGTGTGTATTCATTTTCATGAAACATTTTAAAGCAATATCAACTGGGTGTGGTGGCACATGCCTGTAAACCCAGCACTTGGGAGGCCGAGGCAGGAAGATGGCCATGAGTTTGAGGCCAGCTTGGGCTACATAGTGACTTCAAAGCCAGCCTGAACTACATAGCAAGACCCTGTCTTTAAAGAAAATCAATCAGGGTAACTTTAATTATATTTCCCAGTGATGCTACTAACCTGTTCTTAGTTCATGAAATGGACTGAGGCTCTGTGTCATTTTGCTTACAGCTTAGGGAATAACACTGTATGACCATCTCTATATTTACACTCAAAAGAGAGCTTTCATTCACTCAACCAATACCTTTTGAGTATGTGCTCTCTTGTTTCGGTGGAAGGGAGGTGACAGGGAACAAAACAGGTACAGTAACTCTTTGCCCTGTGGGGTCTGTATTCTAGCGGGGAAAGACACCGTGAGCAAGCGGGGAACGCAGGGGGCTCAGCAGTATGAAGAAACGGGAAGTGGAGCCAGGGAGGTGAAGGAGGGCGGCCTATGGCATGGGCAGCCTGCTTACCAGCGTGGTCCGAGGAGGCCCCACTGCAAAGGAGGTGCCTGCGGAGACCTGTGCAGGAGGACAGCCACGCGCACCTGGTGTAAGAGCTTTCCCAGAGGGACGGTAAGCGCCGGGCGGAAGGGGCCGAGTGTGCCTGGTGGACGTGAGGAGCACCCACGAGGGCTGGCGCGTGGGGAGTGGAGCAAGTGCAAGGAAATGAGATGAGAGAAGGGAGAGGAGTTGGAGGTCAGCCTGTAGCCATCTTTATGAATTTTTGGATTATATTCTAAGAAAACTGGGAAGTTACTGGATTGTTTGAGGGAGTCACTGGAATTTTTAAGTAGAGGAATGATATTATGTGACATTTGCTGAAGATCATTCTGCTACGTAGAAAATACACTGAGGCTGTCAGGGGCAAAGGAGCTACTGTAATAAACCAACCGAGACAGTGGCGTCTGAGACCAATGTGGCGATGGTGGAGGTGGTGACAAGATCAGATGCTGGGAGTGTTTTGAAGATACAGCCAACAGGATCTGCTGATGGTCTGGAAGTACAAACAGAGAGAAAGAAAAGAATTGAAGACAAGAGCTAGCTACATAGAAAACTGTGCAGGGTGTCCTGTGTTCCCAAGAAAAACCACTGTCGCCTCTACAGTCCTCCATTGCTTTGTACTGAGATGGTTTTTGTGTCCGTGCGCTGAGATTCTCAAGGGTATTTTTTCCACGTGGCACTGGGAATTGGGCCTGGATCTTGTGCACACCAAGCACACACTGTACCACTGAGCCACCGCCCCAAGCTCACAACTGGGATCTTACTGATGAACAACAGGGCTGGGGGAGAATGGGGATCTGAGGGCAGGAGGAGGTGCAGGACAGGAAGGGGCGGGGAGGTAGCTGAGGGTAGCCAGAAGAGCACAGGTTGGAGGCCGGGGGGCTTGGGTTTGAGCTCCGGCTCCTTCACTTGAAGAAGCTGTGGGACTTTGGACGAGTTACTTTCACTTCCCCTAGCCTCAGATCTGTAAAATGGTAAGAGCAACGCTGATGCCCAGCCGGTGGCAGAAGTGCGTGACCTACAGCTCTCGCACGAGTCTGGCACAGCGCTGCTGCTTTTAGACTTGACTGCTAGTGACGGCAGCGCTTTCCACTTGTGACCCTGTCATTGGCCCTCTCACAGGCTGTCTTCTGTGTGGTGTTTGGTACAGTTTTAGAATTATTTTATGTTGTTTTTTTTGGTCTTTTTGAGACAGGGTCTCGCTATGCAGTTGAGGCTGACCGTGAGCTCACTTTGTAGCCCAGGTTGGTTTTGAACTCACAATGATCCTTCTGCCTCTGCCTCCCGATTGCAGGGATTATACCTGTGCACCAGCATGCCCGGCTAATTTTATTTGAAAAAGCATACACTGGGGGTATGCATCAGTGCATAGGGCTTGCCTAGTAAGCACAAGGCCCTAGGTTTGATCCCCAGTAGTGAAAAAAATATATCATACAGCAAAATCAGCTTCTTTGTACTCAGTGCTATGAATTTTAGTATCTGTATAGATTCAAGTAACTACCATAATCGGGATACAAAACTTCCATCACCTCTAGAGACAGTTTCTAAAAACACCTTTACTTCTAATCCATACACTATAATTCATCATTTAAGGTGTATCAGAACATTCAGAGTATTGTGCAACCATCACTTTGCTAATTTGAGAACATTTCCTCCCTGTAAGAAGAAGCCTCAAATTTATTGGCAACCACTTCTCATTCCTGTCTGCCCAGCCTCTGGCAGCAGCTAATCCACGTTCTGTGCTACACAGTTGCCTGTTCTAAATATTTCATATAAATGGGATCATATAGTATAGAGCCTTTTGTGACTGCCTTTTTTCATCTAGTATAATATTTTTGGAGCTCATACACTTTGTAGCATGTATTGATATTTCGTTTCTTTTTATCACTAATGATACCTCCTTTATAGGAATATGGCACACTGCTTATCTGTCACTTGGTGGACATTTGGGTTGTTTACAGCTTTTGTGTATTAGGAACAAGGCTGGTCTCATGTACAAGTGTCTGTGTGACAGATGTTTTCCATTCTCATCATAAGTACCTTGACGTGGTTGGGTCATGGTAATTCTGTCTCAAATTTTGAGTAACTGCTGAACTATTTTCAAAGTGACTGCACCACTTTAAATTTCAGTCTACAGTACATGAGGTTCTAGCTCCTCCACACCGGAAGTAGTGCTTGTTATTATCTCTTTTTATTACTGCCTTGTGGTGGTTTTGATTTATATTTTCCTGAAGACTAATGATAGTGAGCATGTTTGCGTGTACTTATTGGCTACTTGTCTATCTCTTTGGAGAAATGCCTAAGTCTTTTGTCATTTGGTGACTGGGTTGTGTTATTTATTACTACTACTACTATTATTATTATTATTATTTTCTGAGTACTGGGATTACAGGTATGTGCCATCACGCCTGGCCTGCATTAAGAGTTCCTAATAAATTGTATATATAAGTACCTTACTGGATCTATAATTTGCAAATACTTTTTCCCATTCCATGGGTTGTCTTTTCACTTTCTTGATGGTACTCTTTGAAATGCAGAAGTTCTAATTTTAATCTTGTCTGATTTTTTTATTTAGGTGCTTGTGCTTTTGGAGCCATGGCCTACTCCCTGCTCACAAAGGTTTAGTCCTGTATGTTTTCTTAGGGTTCTTTTGTTTTAGCCATTCCATGTGGTTGTGTGATGCGCTTTGAACTAATATCCGTGCATGGTTTGAGTGGGAGTTCCAATTCATTCTGTCCATTCAGGCTATCTCTCATTAGATATTTGCTGCACAGACTGTTCTTTCCTAACTGTATTTTTTCCACACTTCTGTCAGAAGTCACCTGACTGTAAATGTTAGGGTTAATTTGTGATTCTCAAGTCTGTTCCATTGATCTGTATTTCTGTCCTTATGTCAGCACCATACTGTTCCCGTTGTACTTCGTGTAAGTTTTGAAATTAAGAAGTGTGAATTCTCCAATTTTGTTCTGGTTTTTCCAGATTGTTCTGGGCTCCTTGCATTAGCATATTTTAGGATTTTAGGACCAGCTTGTCCATTTCTACATCAAAAGCAACGGGGATTTTGATTGACCTTCTATACGTCAGTTTGGGGAGTACTACCATTTAAAAATGCCGAGTCTTCTAATACATGAACTATTCAAAATATTGTGTATTTTTCACTGTATGTCTTGCACTTCTTTTGTTAAATTTTTCCTGAGTATTTTATCCTTTTTGATGCTGTTACAGAATGGAATTGTTTCCTTCATTTGCAGGTTGTTTACTTCTCATGTACAGATGCACAGTTGATTTTTACCTGTTGAGCCTGTGTCCTGCTGTACAAGGCGGGTCTGACTTCCCCGGGGGCAGAGACGTGGGAAGCGTGTCAGACAGGAGGGCCAGGCCGCCCCAGAGAACCACAGTCTCTCACTGCGCAGAGCTCAGCGGCCCCGACAGGGTGCAGGCAGGCTCCCCCTGGTGGGCGGGCCTGTACCGTGTACCGTGTACCGTGCTCCCTCCTGCCCGCGCCGTGCGGCCCTGCAGAGCTGGGTGTGGGAGGAACGGCTCACCTCCCGCTTGCTCTTTAGCGCAGACTTTCCAGAAGCTGCAGCGGGCCAAGGAGGTGCTGAGCGGCGCGGAGAGCCGGGCGCGCTACGACCTGTGGAGGAGCAGCCAGGTGGCCATGCCATTCCGGCAGTGGGAGGCGCTGGCCGGCGTGCGAGCGGTGCGTTCCCGCGGGGCCGTGGCGCGGATGGGAGCCGGGCAGGGGATGGGAGCCGGGCAGGGGATGGGAGCCAGGCAGGGGACAGGACGGGATGGGGCGGTGTTGGGAGCGGGTGGGTGTGATACGGGGCTCACACCTTGGGGAAGACACTCAGCAGAGGCTCCCGCAGTGCCGGAGCAGCCCCTGACTGTGTCCCGGGCTGTGTGTCTGTGGTGTCGGAAGCCACGCTCCCTGTGACTATTTACTTCATTTTCCGAGCTCTGGTAGACGTGTTCCTCAGGTGTGTGCTACACAAGAAGAATATATTTCAGTCTATGCTTGCCCATATACTGAATTTTGGCTGGCCTCGAGCTCATGGCAGTCCTCTTGTCTCAGCCTCCTGAGTGCTGGGATTATAGCTGTGTGACACCATGCCTGGCTTCTGACTTTTTCTTGTTAGTATCAGTTTGTTCTTTTTTCAAGGCTTATGAATCTACTAAAAAAGCAAGGTCTAATTAACTGAAGAAATCTATAAATTTTTCTATTGCACATTCTGGTGAAAAAATTGTTGGGCTTAGTAAAGCATTGTGTTACCTTTCCTCATGCTATTAAAAAAACTACACATCAAAATAATCATTATGGCCAGGTATGGTGGTGCATGCCTGTAATCCCAGCATTCAGGAGGCTGAGGCAAGAGGATTACTGTGAGTTTGAGGCCAGCCTGAGGGACACAGCAAGACACTGTCTCAAACAAAATAAAACAACCCCCCCGCCCAAAAAAAAAATCATTCTAAGGACTGTGGGTGAGCAGGGCATAGTATAACCCCATAACCCCATAACCCCAGCACTCTGGGAGACCAAGGCAGGAGGATCACAATTTCGTGCCAAGCCTGTTAACTTAGTGACATAGCAAGACTCTCTCCCAAAATAAAAAATAGAAGGGCAGCATATGGAGTTTAGTGCAGAGGCCTTGGACTCAATACCCAGTACTAAAAAAAAGGGGGGGTGGTGTCTGTGGGTGTAGCTCAGTGGTAAAGCACATAGTAAAGAAATCCCTTGGCCCAATCCTCAGCACTCCAATAAACAAATAAATAAGTCATTATAATTACTTGGTTTACATCAATTTTTATATATTAAAGAGAAATGTAATTATAAAGGTTTCTATTATTAGGCATTATGTATTACCCAGATTCTTAGAATGTTCTTAATGGCCTGAGGCTCTTGAATATAGAACTCACCTTCCAAGTGAGTCTTCAGGGACACTTGGTGGAATCAGTCTATAATGGAATCAGGGACTCATATCCCTGCCTTTCAGGGTACATTTAGGTTTCCTTCTTCACAGTTTTTGTTTTAAGAAGACTTGCAGAGCTTGTTTATGATGGACCTGTAATACTGAGGGATGATCTTTAAAATAATGGGAAGACCAAAGCAAAACTCTCAAAGTTCATGTTTAAAGCTCCTCATCATAAAATGTAAACTGGTTTCTTGGTCTCATTTTTGAATGAAGTGTGTACTAATGGGCTTGTTTAAGTGGGTTAATTACTTGGGAGGTCCTGCGCATATTGTTGTTGTTTAGATCTGTAATGCCCCCTGGAGCCTCGTGTGTTTGGGCTGTGATTGGATCCTGGTGCTGTATGCACCAGTGGGCTCATGACTGATCTGATGGGTTTACCAGCCGAATGTGCTGGTGGCAGGTGGGGACTGGTTGGCGGTGGTCACCTGAGACATGACCTGGAAGGGCGCTGTGTTCTTGTCCCTGGTTCCTCTGTTCTGCCTGCTTCCTGGCTGCCCTGGGGTGAGCAGCTGTCCTCTGCCAGGCCCTTCTACAGTGCTATTTCTGCCTGGAGCCGACCATGGACTGAGGCTGTGAACCAAAACAAACCTCTCCTTTAAGTTGTGGGTCTTGGGTGTTTTGTCCCAGCGATGGGAAAGTGGCTAAGGCACATGCGATTATTGAATAGATGCACAAAGAAACTACAAGGACTTTTTTCAGAAAATGTTACCCGGAGTTCACATATTCAGAAATATGTCTCTTTTCTTTTTCACTGTGTATATCCATAGTTCTTTTGTTAGCACTAGCTAAATAAATATTGTCCCACCAGCTCTGCATAACCATATGTCTGGTCTCCTCAGTGTGACACACTGTGATCGCCACTGAATTAGTGACCCTTGCCTTCTGATTTATAGCCCATTTTTTCTTGATGATCCACTCAACTCTGTCACTTAATTTTTAACAGCTAAATCAAGTTAACTGTGGATTAAAAAAACTTTCTCCACATCTCTGCTTTAATTTGTATTGCCAATGTCTTTCCATTTAATACTAATTTCCTGTCTCCAAACACATCATTTCTACTTGAGTTTAGCTTAGCTATGACTGTTTGAGGTCTTACAATAATTACATTAGATCTTACTGGTTTCTTTTTTTCTTTTTCTTTTTTTCTTTTTTTTTTTTGGTTTTTCTCCGGTACCAGGAACCGAACTCACGACCTTGCACTTGCCAGGCAAGCGCTTTTGCCGCTGAGCTAAATCCCCAGCCCCTTACTGGTTTCATAATCTGTATTGTCAGCAAAGTTGAAGTAGTATGCTGGGCTAGCATTTCACTTCAGATTTATTTTTATTAGTGGTACAAAAATGATGAGATGCATATCTCTGCTTTAAAATTAGTGGTGATTTTTTTCCTTACCCTGTCGTTTCCTGCTTCTAATAATCTGTTGCTGACTTTGTTTTTCTTCCTTAGTGGACTTGGAAGTCTCAGTGGGTCCGTCTTAGCCACTTCCCTCATCACTGAGACCCAATACCTGATACCCACAACTTGGAGGAGAGGTTTATTGGCACTCAGGGTACAGTCCATGGTCAGCTGGCTCCAAGGCAGAATGGCATGGCAAGGGGAAGGGTGCAGAGAAAGCTGCTCACATCATGGCAGTGAGCAAGCAGAGTGCCCAGAGGGAGGAGCCAGGGAGTGACATGGACCCTTCCAGGTCACATCCCCGGTGACTTCCCTTCTGACCAGGCCCCACTTCCCAACACCAAGCCAGCTGTAGGGCCCCCATCACCTGGTCACCTTCTATAGGCTACCACCTCTGAGTGTGTGAGACTCTGGGGGACATCCGGGTATAAACCACAGCAGGATCTGTAAAGCGTTCAGTAGACTTTCTGTGATTTTCTTCTCTTTTCTAATTCTAAAAGTGATCCTTCTGCCTCAGCTTCCTGAGTGCTCATACTACAGGTACTGGCCATTGTACCTAGCTATTTTGTAACATTTAAATTGTTCTTTTCTCACCGTGTTTCATTTGTCTACCCTTTTACATGCATACTTTGGTGAGATTAGTAACAATGACCTTACCTAGTGTTTATCACCTAATAAAGCGTTGTCTGTCTTTTTATAGATAAACATCACCTGTAGGGCTTTGGGATTAGTTGTACGTGTGCCATTCTGACAGCAAAATGGTTGTAACTTTAGGTTTTGAATTTCAGATGACATTTGTCTGAAACATGCCTGCAGGTTGGTTTGCCCTGCACATTTATAGATTATTAACTCTCATCAAAGCCCTCTCTGTCACATCATTAATCCCGTGTTTCTGCTTTTATTTAAGCAGTGTAACTGCCCTGGAAGGAAACACTGGTTGGGTGCACGAGTCCCACCCTACAGGCAGGACGAGTCCCGGGGCACCCGGCAACACTGCACACAGGCCTTCGGGTGCAGAACGCCCCTTGGGGAGATTCTTCAGGCAAGCCACAGCCTTAGGGTGATGCGCACTAATGTATTTTCCCCCTCACAAGTTCCTGTCACTTCACTAGCTATTTATTTCTCTTTTTCTAAAAGTTCCTCCTGATAGTTCCATTTGTGAGGTATTATAAGAATTCACCCAGGGCAGTGAACATTCCAGAAACATACATTTAGACATGTGTTGGTTCAAAGCAAGCCTGGGGTGAAGGTTTCAGTAACCCAGGCCCTTGGAACCCGGGGACACCTTGGGAACAGAGGCCTTTCTAGCTCCGAGGATGTAGCAAAATTACTCTTTGCCATCCTGGGTGTGGATGACTCTCCCTCTGGCTCCAGAACATGTGGCAAAGGGGCATTAGGAGGGCTGCTGGAAGGCGGCTACAGTAAAGCCACAGTCACAAAGAACCTCTGAGACAAATCTTACAAGCTTGCAATGGCAAGCAGAAACCCTGAAACGACACCCAGGATTGGAGGCAGGTTTGTTTACGTCCGCCTCAGTGAGCACTGATTAGGATCATTCCCGAAATATAAGGCCCTGAAGGCCCAGGGAGGGAGGTTTTCGTGGGGCCTGCAGGGAGAAGCACAAAGGCAGAGTACTTGTCTGTCTTTGATTGAGTCTTACAGTACACATCATAGTGACCAGCATTGTTATGGTTTGTGTCTAGGTGCCCCCCAGAGCCTCATGCAGTCATGGGGCGGGTTTCTAGAGTTTATGATTGATCCATGGTCCAAGGCTGGGATTACGGGTGTGAGTGCTACAGCTGCCCTGGAGTGGGTAGTTTGCATACAGTGTAAGGGAGGGAAAGAGGCATCCTCTTCTCACCTGCTCCTCCCTTTTGCTCTTGCTGTTTTGCTGTTTTCCACCTCGATGACCTGTTGCCCTCTGCCGTGTGCCACCCTGCCTTGGAGCCAGCCGAGTATGGACTGAAACCTCCACACACTGAGCTAAATAAACCTTTCCTCCCTTAATTTTGGTTATTGGGTATTTTGTCTCAGCAACGAGAGAAATGTACCAAAGACAAACAGTTTCTAAAAAACAAGAGTAACAGGAACTGTATCTGGATCTGTTACCTGGGCAACTGACACACTGAAGTATCCTGGCTGTGAGGCATTTTCTGTTACAAGCTGATAAAAATGCTTGTCACATCACTTGCTGTAATTGTTATAAGGATCCAGCAGAAATGCATTCTTGGTGAATCATTGGACAAATGGATTGCCTGTGCGACAGCTGTCGGGGGCTTCCCATCACCCTGCATAGATTTATTTGTCTGTTGGTGGTGTCTGGGCTCCTGCCGGGTGAGCTGTCTTTGGGATGAGTCCAGCTGGCCACAGACTACCAACGAAGCTTCCTGCTGTGCCCACGTGGCCAGTTTGTCCAGCCAGAGGGAAACTGCGGTTCAGCACCTTCTGGGCCTATTTGAAAGCAGCCTGTCTTAACTGGATATTATCCAAACGCAGGCCAGAAATCACTCGGGGAAGTAAGCGCCTCTCTCTTGGAGGTCCAAGAGTTACCCAGCTGAGCTATGGCACATCTGAGTCAACTGCTTTTTTTTTTTTTCCTATTTTTTCTGGTGTTTAATGGCTTATAGATAAAAACAAGATTATTTTCCAGTGTTGACCAAGGTCTGAATGTTACAGGGAGAGGAGAGAGAGGAGAAGAGGGGAGGGGAGGGAGAGAGAAGAGAGAAGAGAGAAGAGAGAGAAGAGAGAAGAGAGAAGAGAGAAGAGAGAAGAGAGAAGAGAGAAGAGAGAAGAGAGAGAGAGAGAGAGAGAGAGACCCATTGAGGAAAGCTGGTAAACATGTTAATTATGAAGGTGGAATAACAAAATACCCGTTTCACAGACTTCGGGGTTAGCAGCCTCTGCACCTGCGCTTGCTTTCCGCTGTGCATTAGTTCGCTTCCTGCGCACGCCGACTTCCTGCCCGGTGCCGCGCATTCTTTTGCCGGACAGACTCTTCTTGCCGCAGTCTCCTCTTGAGCCTACCGGCTGTCGCTGGATGTTTGCAGTGCTGCTCGTTCTGGCGAGAAGCGCCGCTCCCCGCAGACCGGCTTCCAGCCTCGTGCAGCCCAGCGCTCCGTGAGCACAGAAGCCGATTTGCAGGCTGACGCCCCAGGCTGCTCTGAGCATCGCTCTTGCGGTCGGCCTTTGGTTGAACTGCAGAGCTGAGGCGCCTGTGCCTGAGGTTAGGTACAGGTGGGGTTTTTCTTCTGCGTATTTATGTAATCGGGATCAGCAGATACCGAAGTCTGATGATAAAATATTTTATTCTGATTTACTCTCAGGAAGGCCGGTGAGTGAGGCTGCTGCCCCGAATAGGGCTTTCGGAGCGTTCCTTGCGAGTCACCAGTGCTCGCTGCTGACCTCAGGCAGACGCAGCACTTCGATTTCCGGAGAGAAGCGTCTCCTAAGGCCGACTTGGGATGCTTACAGTGCATTTTCAGCTCTCTGGGCCCCAAGTTATTGAACTTTTTTACTCTTTTATTAACCTTCCTAATGGCCTTTCCCTTTCCCCTCTGTGGAGGAAGCCTTTTCTACTGCATGCACGTGCAAAACACCAAACCCCAACAGCGAGCCCAAACCACCCAAACAAAAGCCAGATTGTTGTTACTTTTTCCTTGGTGGAGGCCATTGCCTCTTGTTAAAATGATTTTTATTTAGAAATAGAACCTACAGAGAAATGCACAGCACCTGCGTTTACAGTTCGGCAGACGGCTGTGAAGTGTTTGCTTTGTGACCACCCCAGCACACACAGTTAGCACTCAGAAGGGCCCCTCCTTCCGTATTTTTGCCTTCACAACTCTATCTGATTTTCAAAGCTAGTTTTTTCTAATTGCATACACATGTGCATAAATCATCGCGGTTGAAGGGAGGGGAGGGGAATGGAAGAAAAGAAGATGAATCGTGCACAGGTACAAATTCCCGTGACGAGTGTGATCACTGTGTATGGCAAGTGTACTCATAAAAAACACAAAGTTAGGAAAGAAATAATCTCAGGAAACCTGGAAGATACAGAAGTAAAATAAACAGAACAACACAGTTTGTGGTGGGCACAGCCATGTGGCAGGTGTTCCTGCGTTTGCTTTCAATGGTGCCACCCGGCTGCCACTGTCTGAGAGCCGAGTGCTGGGATGGGTGCTTCCTGGGGCGGTGCTCAGACCCGGGTAGTGGGGTTTGTCAGCTCGGACTGGAGGGGGTTGGGGAAAGCGTTGAAGGCATGAATAAGTAACTCCTTTGATTGGGTTAGAGCAGGACTTGGATGTGCTTATGTTTTAGAATGTGTAAAAGTCTATATTGTTCTCTGGCCCATACATATATATATATATAATCTCCATATTATATGCATATATTTATGTACTTGTACATATATGTCTGTATTTGTTTTTTCTTTGTTTTTTCTTTTGGTACCAGGAATTGAATTCATGACCTCAGGCTTGCCAGGCAAGCGCTTATGCCACTGAGCTATATTCCCGGCACTTATGTCTGTATTTGAATGTGTCCATCTTTCTGTCTTCTCCTGCTTGCCTGCCTTCTTCCTTTTTTTCTTCCTCCCTCCCTCTCTCTCCCCTCCCTTCCTCTTTCTTTCTCTCCCTCCTTCCTTCCATCCTTCCTTCCATCCTCTCCTCCCTCCCTCACCCCTGCCCCCCCATCCAGGAAAGTAATACTTCAGATACCAGAAAAATTTTTTTACTCTGGGCTTTAAAGTTCTCAAATATGTGATATATGGATTTCCCTTGGGTTTTGTTTAACAAAGAGTAGTATAACACTGTTAGTGCTTCAGGAATAGCCTTCCACAATATTCAGATAGGGTTTCAAGAATCAGTTATGTTCATTATTTTGGCTTATTCCAGGGCCAGTTATTCTACTTGAAATATTCTCACCATAGAACCTTTTAATGTCTTTTTCTCTGTATTCCTGTATCCATCCATCCATTCATCTATCCATCCATCTGTCCACAGGGCCTCATGCAGGCCAAATGCTCTACCACTGAGTGGTATTTCTAGCACCGCCCTCACTTAAAAAATTTTAAATGTGGAAAATACAAATACAACACCACAGTGAAAAAGATACAAAAATGTATCCAGTGGATTTAAAAGACACAAAAATGTATACAAAAATATATCCAGTGGATTTAAAAGATACAAAAATGTATACAAAAATATATCCAGTGGATTTAAAAGATACAAAAATGTATCCGTGGATACCTGTATCTATGTATCTTTGTATCCGAAGATACAAAAATGAGAAAGACCTAGAGATACAAAAGTCTTGTCTTGTCAGTTTGTTTCTCAGTATCTTGACCTAGCCACATGCATTTCCTTCTGACCCCCTCTCCTCACTGCTCCCCGGGAAGCAGCCAGAATTATGTAGACAATTAAATCACTGGGCAAAGAATCACCCCAGTCGTCTTAGACACAGTTCTTGGATATCAGGTTTCTAGGGACAGTTTTCAAGGGCTTGGTTCCTTTTGTAGAAGTATAAAAATTATACCAGAAGTCCGTAGATAATGAGCAACACTGTTGATGTATAGATCCTGATTTTTAAAATTATAAATGAAAGATATAAAAATAAAGTTCACACCAAATGTTAAGAAACCAAAATAGTACAGTAAGATGTGTAATAAAAATGAATCTTTGTTCCAAGCCCCGCGTCTCCCTTCCCTAGAAATAGCCATTATAATTTTTTGTGTTTCTCTCCAGAAATCCTCCATCTAATATGCACATACAGTTTTATATTGTCCTTTCAAGGGAACAAAGGAAACTGTAGTATTTATTTATTTATTTTTTTCCTGCTACCGGGAATCGAACTCACGACCTTGCACTTGCCAGGCAGGCGCTGTGCCACGGAGCTAAATCCCCAGCCTAAGCTGTAGTATTTAGATTTTTTTTTCCCTGTCTTTCTGAGACAGGGTCTCACTATACAGTTCAGGCTGGCCTTGAGCTCACTTTGTATCTCAAGCTGGCCTGGACTCGAAATGATCCTCCTGCTTCAGCCTCCTGAGTACTGGGATTACAGATGTGCACCACCATGCCTGGTGATAAAATTCTTCTTGAAAGACTCATTTTCAGTTATGTTAGGTATTACCTATATATTGTTTTGAGATAGGGTCTCACTATGTTGTGCAGGTTGGCCTTGAACCCTCTTTATGCAGTTCTATCTGGCCTCAAACTCTAGGCAGTCCTCCTGCCTCAGCTTCCCGAGTGCTGAGATTACAGGCATGTGCTACCATGCCCAGCAGGTATATGCCTATAAATGGAATTTCTGGGTCATGAAATGATTCTGTGTTTAAGCTTTTTTTTTTTTTTTTCCGGTGCTGGGAATCGAACTCAGGACCTTGCACTTTCCAGGCAGGCTCTGTGCCACTGAGCTATATCCCTGGCCCAATTAAACTTGGGAGTAATCAGTATTTGGATTAATCAATGAATATCTGGTTAATAGTCAAGTCTAATATTCTGTTGGCGCTATAATATTACATTAGGTGTTATACATACTGAACTTGAAATGTGGAAACCTTGCAATATTGGTTTAATGTTTATGTGTTTACTTTAAATCAGTCAATGCACTGGGCTGTCAGAGGTAAGAAGGACCTGATGCTGGAAGAAGCTGGTCAGACCCAGACCAAGGAGATTAGAAATGAGGGCTGCAGCGAGCGAGAAGAAACAAGGGAAGAGGAGCTGGGTTCAGCCACGGAGAGAATGGAGCCGAGAGAGTCTGCGTCCGTCGAGAAGTCAGTCCTCCCGCAGAACCCGGATTCTCCAGGTAAGTCCCGCCACACGGCTCTGCGGTGCAGAGCAGCCCTGACACTGAAGTCCTTACTTTGTGTCATGTGTACGCGCCTTCGTCCAGCCTGAGGTTGGTTTCGCGTCCTAAGGGATCTGACAGCGGGGAGTGGAGCCACACAGCTGTCACTCTGGCGACTCAGGAGGCTGCGACGGGGCTGCTGTGTCAGCAGGAACACAGACAGTGGAAACTACGTTACTCCAGAGGGAAGCCTGAGGTGTTCCTCAGGATATCGTTTGCGTTATTGAAATCACACTTGCTAAGGGACTGAATGCTTGCTTTCGTGCAGACAGTCTTTACATACAGGACTTTACATTGTTACCTCATTCAGTTTAAATTTGCATGTATTAACTTTTTAAGTCTTCACTAGAAACTTGGGAGGTGGCTGCTACTCTCGGTACCCTCTTTTTACAGGTGAGCACACGGACACCTAGGGAGGGTGAGTAGTTTGCTCGAGGCTAATACAGCTTATGTCTGGTGGGGTAGGGACTTGAGCTGAGGCAGTGTGGCCTCAGGGGCTGTGTCCCAAGGCACTGCCCTGCCCTGCAGTGACCCCGCATGTGGAAGTAGCTCAGTAGTCACTCTTAGGTCATTCATAGATCCACCAAGGTGAGGTGTTACAGAAATTCAACTCCTGGCTCCTAAACTTCATCCCTGAGCTCACATTCTAGCTCTAGTACTTATTATCTGCATCACTTAGCAAAAGTTACCTAATTCTCTAGACCTCGGCTTCCTCATCTGTGAAATGGGCATTATAATAATAACCTTCTCACAGAGTTACCTTGAGGGTTACATGGGGAGATTCAATCAGAGGCTCAGCACAGTGATGGTTTGCTGGTAGCAGTCTGTATCTGTCAGCTTTCTTTTTGCTGAGACACAACAGGCAACACCCACAACTTGGAGCAGAGCTTTGTTTTGTTCTCAGTGTTAGTCCATGATCGGCTGGCTCCAAGGCAGAGACGTCATGGTGGAAGGGTGGGGCAAAGCTGCATAGTTCATGGAGCTGGGAAACTTGAGAGGAACAATGGAGGGACCACGTACAGCACCCAAGGCCACAGGCCATAGGTCCATGACCCTCACACACCCAGGAGCACACTCCACTAATCTGCACAGCGTTCCCAGTGATGCTGATATGTCAGGACTAATGCGCACACATTCTTCGGGTTCGTTCTTGGGGTTGTGATGCAGTACCCCGTTAGAATTTGGTCTTTAAGTGGAAGGTTCCTCAATACTCTTGAACACTTGTTTGAAAAGAGGATCATTAGATACTCAAATTTCTCTTTGGGGGAACTTTTACACAGTTGGTAGTTTCTGGGAATGAAGATTCTCAGAGTTTGAGTCAGGTGTCTCTGCTGGGTACCCAGGAGACCTCGGGGTGTGCTCACATTGCACAGCGGTCCATAGTGGTTAAATGATAACAGGCTTGATCAAAGCAGAAGACTGCATTTCACAAAACTGTGTTTGGGGCAAACACACACACACACACACACCACACACACCACACACACACACACACACACACACACACACACACACACACGTCTCCTGCGGCCCTTCCCCCTGTGTGCAACAACAGGCAAACACTCAGACGTCTCTCCCTGCAGCGCTGGAGTGTTCAGTTCTGTGTACCTTGAACCCTTTTCAGTCGGATTTACTCATTTTTGTGGCACTGGGGATCGAGCCCAGGACCTTCACACTGAGCTACGTCCGCAGCCCTTTTCTATGTCTTACTTTGAGGCACTATCTCAGGAAGTCACTGAGTTGCACAGGGTGGGCTGGAACTTGCAGTCCTCCCTCAGCCTCCCATGGTGCTGAGATTGCAGGTGTGCGCCCCCACTCCCGTGTCTAGTCAGATTTAGACCTCATCCACTTTGACAAGGGCTGAGGGGGCGTTGGAGATTGCAGGAACTTGGGCATGTGTGCTGAGCCCCACTCGAGCCTCTCTCAAGGGTTCTGTGGGATTTTCCTCTTTAAAAAAAAGTTATTTTTATATTAAAAAATCAAACAGTATGAATGTATCAGTGAAAGTAAAAATCAGAGAATCACAGACTGATAAGAACCTGGTGTTTACCCAGCCCCTCACCCCCTGCTCTGCTCCCTGCGGCAGCCATTGTGGGTGCTTGGGTGTGTGTCTCCTCTGCACCCTCCCTGGAGCCAGTAAGATGTGGAGCAGGGCATCTGAGAACTGGTGTGCAACAGTCTCACTTCTACCTTCTGTTTAAATATATGATAACTAAGCGCCTGCCTGGCAAGTGCAAGGTCCTGAGTTTGATTCCTGAGATATCTATCTATCTATCTATCTATCTATCTATCTATCTAGATATATCTATATATATATAATGAAATAACTATGCCTTCTGATAAGGACACTTCTAGAATCAAGTAGTTACATGTAAATCCTGGAATAGCAACTAAAAAATTCAGATGTAGTGGATGCTGTTGGTGAGCTGCCATATCCCGTTGGCACCCACCTGCCCAGGCACTGCTGACAGTAGGCCTCTATCAGAGACATCGAGGCTCTGCCGGGCGCCTTCTCTGGCAGTGGAGCCTGCTTGGCAGCAGGTGAGTATGCAGTAGGTGCCAGGGAGTTCGCCCTTTGGATGCAGCCCTTACAGAAGCACATGGGCGTGGGAGGCTGGATTCTCCAGTCCTTCACCCTCCTTGGGGCTATCGCTAAGGGATTCCCCAGTGGGATCAAGGTCCAGTCGCTCAGGGTGAGAACTTGGCTGATAGGGACTTGCAGATTCCGTTCCCTTTCCATCCCCTAGCAGTCCTCCCCACGCTCCCCTTTTGCGTTGCTGACTTTAATTAGTTCTTGTCTGGGTGCCTGTGTTGGTTGCATTGCTGGTGCCGGGGAGAAATTCGTGACTGTCACAGATGAAAGGAGCGGGGCTGCCGATGGCTGATGGTTTCAGGGCTTTCGTCTCTGGCCAGCCGGCTCTGTTGTGGAAGGACCTGAAGGGGGCTGCTCACCAAGGGGCAGCCAGGAAATAGAAAGAAAGGGGAAAGCCGGAGAGAGAGGGGCCAATATTTCATGAGCATTTTTCTATGATAGTAAATATTAAAAAATATTGGGACTGGAGTATAGCTCAGTGGTAGAGCACATATTTAGCATGTGAAAGGCTCTGGGTTCAATACCCAACATATACACACAAAAATGTTAATAACTATATTAAAGCCTTTTATTCACCTTCCTATTAAAGATTTTAATTGTTTTTTGATTAAAAAATCATAATTATAAGTGATATTATCATAAGTATCCTTATAGTTGAACCCTTGGGCATACCCTTGGTTATCTCCTTAGGGTGAAGTGGAATTACTGAGTTATGGGTTTATAAATTTTAACAAGTTTGATAAATGATGCCAAACTGCTGTCCTCAAGGGTTTTACAGATGTATTCCTGGTCTCTTTCCTGGAGAGAAGGACAGTGACCTTTTCCTTAGTTTTCAACAATCAGGTTTATTGTAACTTAAAAAAAAATCTTTTAAAAAAATCTTATCATAGAATTCAATTATGTGTATTTTTAGAAGTCTTCACCATTAACCTTTCACTTTTTGAAGTTTTGAAAGCTGTGTGAAAATGATTTCCAATCTCTTTGTAGGTGAAATTGTTAAAACTCCCACCACTAGAGAGAATTAAGCCTTTAAACATTTGAGATTCTCTTACATATATATGGTAAATCCTGTTCATAAGAATTTCAAAGTGTTTTTGAGTTAATCTGTTTTTGTAAAATATTGATAACCACATTGAAAGACATGCCCTTACATTTTGTGTGACACAGTGAAATGTTACTTCCACGCTGTTTTAATATTATAAATCTTGACTTTTCCTACCTCTGATTTAAAATTCGTTTTTCTCTCTTGTAAAGGTTTTTCAGATGTGAACTCCTGGCGCTTTCGTTTCCGCTGGTCTGGGGATGCCCCCTCCGAACTCCTGAGGAAGTTCAGGAACTATGAAATATAACGCGCCCTGCTCTGTGAGCGGAAGGGCAAGGCTGCTGCCTGCGCTGCCGAGTGTCCTCCGGCTGTCCTGTTCCCGGCTGTCCTGTTCCCGATATGCTCAGGACTCGCGGGGTCCTGTGTCTTTGAACCCATTCTCACAGTGTGGCTGCTTTCAGTATTGCTTTTGGTGCTGGGCGTTGAACCCAGGGCCTGTGCACTTCTACCCCAGCCCCACAATGTGTGTGTATGTTTTTAAGTGTGAAAATTTCTAGAAGACTGCTTTCTTTCAATATTGAATAAATTAAAGTTCTTACATCCAAGTAGGTTGTATTATATGTGTCTTCTGCTATGCTATTTATAGAAACCTATTTAAAAATTAGTCTGTATTTGAATATTTTATTGATATATCATGATCTCTGTTTGTTAATACTGGACGTATAAATCATGTTTTGTGACTCTGTAATTAGGTGAAATTACTTGTCTAAACTCCATGGAGTGAAATAAATAATTTTCCCAAAGTTCCTAAGTGTATTTATAATTCAACTGTATTTTACAACTATCTCAGGTGGTTATTTTACTTCAATAATTTTGAATTTAAAAGGCTGTGAGTTATCTGAGGAAATGTTATGTTTTTAACAAGATTTCTTATGTAAGCAAGTGATTAAATTTTTTATCAAATGTTAGATTTATGTGTTATGTCCTAGCAGTCAGCCTTCCAGGTGACAGGACCCCATTAGGTTGCAGCTGCTGCTGATCCTGTGTAGTCTGTGGTGGTTTCGTACTTTTTGAACAAGTGAATGGGAAATTAAGAAGAACAAAAGCATTTGGGATGTGGGCGCTGTGGCACATACCCAGTGCTGTGTAATACCTGTGATCCCAGCACTGTGGGAGGCTGAGGCAGGAATCTTACAAGTTCAAGCCCAGCCTGGGGAATTTAGCAAAACTTTGTCTCAAAATACAAAATAAAAAGCTGGGTCTGTACCTCAGTGTGAATGCCCTGGGTTCACTCCCTAGCACCACAAAACCAAACCAAACCAAGCCAAACCACTTTTAGAGCGGAAGTTCATTAATCAGTGACATAGTTTTCATTGTTCTAATAGCAAAATAAGGTAAAATAAGCATGTAGCACGCTGTGGTCTCAGTATTTATGTCCACGTTCCCACGTTGGAACGCCCACGGACGTGTCCGCAGGTGGGGCCTTTCCCAGGTGACTGGGTTGACGGTGGAGCCTGGACACTGAGGTGTGTGGTCTTAGCAAACGGCGGGGCGGGGGTCGGGGTGGGAAGGGAGAATGAGGATGAGAAGAAAAGGAAGAGGACAGAGACAGGACTGAGACACATTGCGGGGTGTCCTCACCACACAACTAACTCTGCCCTGACGCGTTCCCAGCCTCTCGAACTGTGAGAAGTAAATTTCTGTTCGCAGGTGACCCAGGTTATGACTTTTATTATGGTAGTTTGACAGTATATTCTTTAAAAAGCTAAACACTCAGGATAAAGGCTTTCTTACTCGTCAGGCTCCTTTTGCCCACCGTACAGGTTGCCAGTTGCTGCAAAAGTCTTGCAGAAGTGAGTTTATTCAAAAGGCCGCCCTATGTGAGGATGGGAGACCCAGGGCTCAAGTTTGCCTCTGTGGTGCTCGAGCTTAGGGGACCTACGGGTGAAAGAAGAGGGTAATCGAAGGCCTGGGGCAAAGTAACGGGAGGTAACCTGCAGTCTGATGGTCTGCAGGTGGAGTTTTTGGCCCTTGGGTGTGAAGGTCACCCATGGGACCCTGTGCGGGGCCAAGGGAAGAGTGGATGGACTCCACAAAAGTGGCCGTCAAGTCCCTGAAAAGTAACCTAGGTGACTTACCATCATGACTCACAGGTCAGAGTGCTGTCTGCAGCAGCACCCTCAGCTGTATGACCTCCAAAATGCATGACTTAGTTACCAAAACCAAGTAACTAAAAGCAAGCAAAGCTAGATTTATTTCGTTTCCCTGGGTTAGAGGGGTGTCTTTTCAGACGTTATGTCTTTCCTACCGTTGTGGTTTCAGATGTGCTCCCTTGAGTGTGACAGTCTCAGGGTGATTGCATCAGTTTGCCGGGCGGCTGTAACCAAGCAGCAGCACTGGATGGCGTAAGCAGCATTTCTCAGCAGCTCTGCAGGCTGAAGTCCAAGGTCAAAGTGCTGGCAGGGTGCTGTTTTTATTTTTCCCCCAGGAGGCTGCTCTTGGCTTGCAGACAGCCACCTTGCTGTAACCTGCACTGTCACATACATAGGCCTCGGGCCTCTTCCTGTGGGACATCAGTCATATTGGATCAGGGCCACTTTCATGACCTCATTGTCACTTACACCTTTCAGGAATGTTTCTCCAAAGGAGGTTATGTTTTTGGGCTTCAACATGTGAATTTTAGGAATACACAATTCAGTGTTTGTAAAATAGGCAATTTTTAAAAGTGGTACAACTTTGAATTGATGTCTAATTTTATTCACATTTTTTGCTGTTTTGTTGAACTCAAAAGTCAGGGCCAGCAGTTTATACAGAATTTTTTTTTTTAATTGATATTTTACTATTTCAATAAAACATGGCTTTTGTTGCCATTTTTGCAAAATTTCTTTCTTTCTTTGTCTTTTTGAGACTATGTTCTTCAGGTTGGCCTCAAACTCACAGTGATCCTCCTGCCTCAGCCTCCTGAGTGCTGGGATTACAGGTGTAAGCCACCATGCCCGGCTACAGAATTTATTTCAAAAAAAGAAAATACATGCCAAAAATAGAGCATGCTAAAGTTAGTAAAACAAATTTTTAGGCAATAATCAGCTGTCATAATGCCTGCTTGGCTAGGTAGGCATTCAAATAAATACTGTATTGAATAATATCTTTCTAAGTCCGAAAATCAAGAGTTTTATTTATCCCCCTGACTGATTTATAGCACTGATAATGTTTAATGACTTGTCAAAGGGAAAAGGACACCACTCTCACATGGTGTATTTTAATCACACACTCATTCCCCAGGTGTCAACAAGACTGAGTTCTCCTCTTGTCTGTGTTTCTCTCTCCTGATGCCCAAAGCCTCCAAATAAGAAATGAGCAATAGCTGTGCATTCTTGGCAGTTGGTGGGTCAGGTTCCTGCTGAGCACTTTGTATACTTGACTCCACTTAATGTAGTAGCGAACCTTTTATCCTTACACACCTGCGTACTTGAGTACTCGAATTCAGCATGTAAGAGGGAAGAAGTCTGTACTTAAATTACACACTCCTTGGACTGGAAAGTGGGAGGAAAACAGAGTTTCTCTGAGCAGATCTGTTTGACTCCCCAGGGGGCCCAGCGCAGCCGCCGTCAGAGGTGTGCAGGAGTGCACAGTTTGAAAGCCACTTACTTGGCACTGTGGTTCAGCTTCATGTCATAGCAGATTATAAAAAGATAATTTTACACGAATATTATCAAGATCTTAACACGAGGTGGTGAAGCTAACTAGTTTCCCTTGTGTTTGATGCTGAACGAATGAACAAGGCACATATTTCCTGAGAACGTCATCATGTGATGAAGGTTGTACTCGCATGTGTGTGGGCTACGAAAACACTTGTCATGTTTATGTTTCAAGAGGAGTTGATAATAGTGAAGCAAGGCAGGTATGCAAATAGCTACAGGCCAAAAGGAGTACATTGGTTTAGCAGATATATGTAGTGGGCTTAGAACACAAGTAAGCACCCTATTAGTTACTATTCTTACTGCACTATTATGTTTTCAGGGTTGTGACTCCTGCAGCCCCTGTCTTCCCACTGTCCACCTCCAAGGCGCTGCTTCTGGCACATCTGTCTGTACTGTCTCGTACATTTATGCTTACACGTGTTTCTGTCCCTCATGTCAAGAGCAGCGCACCCGCTGCTGCCCACCCTGCCTTCATTCAGGTAGTACATCTTGGAGAGTTCCCAGTTCCCTGAGAGTATACGTGCTGTGTTTCGCTTTCTATCTGCTGCACTGCGCAATGTCGTGTGGATGAACCATAATCTGTCCTCTGCTGAGGCTTCTTTTCTGCAGTCATCAAACAACTGTGCAACGAAAAGCTTTGTACAGAGCACTACTCGTGTGTGCAGTGCACCCGTGGGATAAGTGCCCAGCACTGGCATTTCTGGACCAAAGAGTACGTATGTGCATCTTACCCTATTCTCGCCCTCTCTCTCTCTGTCTGTCTCTCCATCTCTTTCCCTTTTTCCCTCCCTCCCTCTCTCTCTCTCTCCCTCCCTCTCTCTCTCCTTCTCTCTGTCTCTGTTTATCTCTGTCTCCATCTGTCTGTCTCTCTCTGCGTCCAGTGCAGCTCTCAAACTTCTAGGGGCAGACGGTGGAGGATGAAGAAATGGTGACAAAGTCAGGATGCAGAGAGCTGAGGTCAGGTGGAGCGTCTCCGGATGGGAGAAAAGAACCACTCAACAGAGGCAGCGCATTCATGTATACACAGGGGAGGCTATTGTCAGCTGAAACCCCTCCGCCTAGCAGCCTATGTGCTTGGATTGCCTCGGGCTCTCTGTGTTTGCTGAGCAGGAACAGCTTGTGCACGAGGCTTGCTGTGGGTGCTCTGCATGTGTGATCCATTTCCAGTTTCAGCTGCTTCCAGCTCTTTCTCTTTTTGTCTTGAGGCAGGGTCTCACTATGTAGCCCAGGCTGGCCTCGAACCTACAGTGATCCTCCTGCCTCAGCCTCCTGAGTACTGGGATTACAGGCCTGTGCTGATTACTGTATTCTTAAGCACATAACAAACCCACTTCGGCAGGTTTCAGAGATCTTAGGGCCATGGGATTGAAAAAGCCAGGAAACTGCTTGTTCACTGGGATTCTTGCTTTTAGTTAGTTTTACTCTAGGCTGGACGTTGTGGAGTGGCTCAGTGTGAAGCACTGTGCTCAGCGAACCATTACCCAGCACCTCACCTAAGCACCGATACCAAGGAGAGCTCAAGATAAAAAAGCAACAGTAAAAGCGGAGCACACATTTCTTCCGGCACCTTCCACAGACACAGGAGCACAGAGCCGTCTTTGCAGTGCGAAGGTTGCTTGCCTTCTGGGCGTCCTGAAATGTTGAAATACAATTCTGAAACATTTTGTTCTTTCAAGTAAAGGGCAGCTCAACAGAACAACTGTAAAAAACTTAGGCAGAGTTCACAATTTCCTGTGAATCCAAGTAGCTTCCAGGCCCCCATGGATATTCCCAGCCTGTCAAACACAGGCCCCTTGATGAGCTCATTAGATATGTAAAAAAGATATTTGCAGATATTTCTCATAAAGACAGAGCAGGATGAGGCGGAGATAAGATTGTTTTCCTGCTTATGAATTTCCATATCCTCCCCTGCCCAGATCTGATGGCAGTCGAAAGATCGGTCACAGCAGCCAGGGTCAGTGACTCACAGAGTGTGGAGAGGGGTCGTTAATTTCCTGGAAGGCAAACACCATCGCTCACTCCACATCACAGACTGGAGCCGCCGGGACTTCTGGGGAGTCAGCGGTGGAGGAAAGTACAAAACTGATGCAATTACTGAGAAAATGATGAAATCCGTCACAAGGAAAGGCTTCAGTCCCTTCAGTTTCAGGTTTTGCGCTGGGCATCAACGGGGCCCTGTCTTCAGAGTGAACGCTTCTCCCGCCCCATCCACCTTTGCTGGGGGGACCTCTGCACCAGGCTGCTCCTTTGTACCCCTTCTCCTCCCCTCGGGGTCTGCTTCTCCCAAGTCTCTCGCCTTGGTCACTTCCTATGTTAATCAGGGGGTCCAGTTTAGATGGTAGAGAGCAGGCACCTGACCTATGTGATCTTAGGGCAAACTATCTGGGCTTCTTACTTCAGTCTCTGCTGCCTGCGGCTGGGTAAGAAGATCTTTGTCCAACAAGGGTGTTGACAGGGGCTCAGGCTTGGTAGTTCAGGGCCCTGGTGGGAACCAGGACAGTGTGGGGACTGGCGGGAATGTGTGAGTCACAGGCAGAACCTGAGGACTTGGGGATAGCAGTCGAGGATAGAGGGTGTCTCTTCTCCATCATTCCTTTCTAGTGGCTCGTCCTGTCTTACTGTTCTTTGAAATAAAGAGGCAGAGATAGAGGGGGGCAGATAACAATTAACTATGTGCATCTGGCCCAAACACTTGCACTGTCCTTTCACTTTCAGCTGACTTTGCTGCCTTTCTTGACAGCATCCCACCTCTGCGGTTCCTTTCTGAAATATTTTTGAAGTGCCAACAGTAGAGGCTCTAAAGCAGGGTCTAACAACGATACTAACAAGAACGCCTACCTCGAGCCATTTCTGAAGCATTTCCTTGGATATCTTGTTTGAACATCACAACTAAGCTTTTCCTTGAGAAATATTATCTTCTAAAAATGACAAAGAATGGAACACAGATTTTATGTGTGTGTGTGTGTGTGTGTGTGTGTGTTTTAAAGACAGGGTTTTTCTATGCAGTTCAGGCGGGCCTTGAGCTCACTTTGTAGCCCAGGCTGGTCTCGAATTTGCAGCAATCCTCCCGCCTCAGCCTCCCAAGTGCTGGGATTACAGGCTTGCGCCACCACACCTGGCTTGTGTGTAGTTTTAAACCATTGGTTCTCAATGTTGCAGTCATCCAGGGAACATGGAAACCCTGGGTTCCACCTGAGATATGAAATAAGTATCTGGCCTTGCCTTTGTTTCCTGACAGACAGCTCCTGAAATGCTTGGAGTTTGCAGTGATGCGTCTTTCCCGTGCCTACAAGAGGACTGCACACTGGAGGCCCAGATACCTTTAGGGTGGAAATCCGGTCACTGGAAAGACAAAGGCAGGGCTAGAGGGCTGGAACTTGAGCTCCACCCACCGATCTGGGGGAAGGAGGAGGGCTGAAGGATGAGTTGCTCATCATGGTCAGTGATGGTCAAGATGTCCACATAATAATCCTTCATTAAAAACCCCAGAGGACAGTGGGGAAGATGGAAGAGGGCCGTGTGCTCAGAAAGAGCATGGAGACGCCGTGCTCCGTCCCGCACACCATGCCCTGTGCTATGCCTCTCTCCCAGCTGGCTGCTCCCCTGTGTCCTGCGAGGCACCTCTATAAAAGGCGGGTGAGCCAAGCGTGTGTAATGGGCGGGTGAGCCGAGAGCGTGTGTAATAAGCGGGTGAGCCGAGCACATGTAACGGGTGGGTGAGCTGGGCTCGAGTAACGGGCGGATAAAACCGAGAGTGTGTAACAGGTGGGTAAGCCGAGCGCGTGTAATAAGCATGCAAACCCAAGCTTGTGTAACGAGCGGGTGAGCCGAGTGCGTGTAATGGGCGGGCGAGCTGAGCATGTGTAATAAGTGTGTAAGCCCAAATGCGTGTAATAAGCGGGTAAGCTCAAGTACGTGTAATGGGTGGGTGAGCCAAGCGCGTGTAACGGACTGGTGAGCTGAGCGTGTGTAATAAGCGTGTAAACCCAAGTGCATGTAATAAGCATGTAAGCCCAAACACGTGTAACGGGCGGGTGAGCTGAGTGAGTGTAATAAGCAGGTAAGCCCTGGTGCGTGTAATGGGTGGGAGAGCCGAGTGCGTGTAACGGGCGGGCCAGCCGAGCGCGTGTAAGGAGCGTGTAAGCCCGAGCGCGTGTAATAATCGTGTAAGCCCAGGTGTGTGTAACAGGTGGGCGAGCCGAGCGCGTGCTGCCGGAGCGACACGAGCGTGTCTGGCCCCCGCGCCCCGCCGCAGACGCATCACACCCGCGGGTCGCGGACCCGGCTCACAGCCGTCCCGCAGG